TTATACGGTTCTATTCGTGAAGCGTTGGGATTTTGATCCCATTGTCGATGATTTTTTTGTGATTTTTGAAAAAGTGGTGCCATAAGACTGTGTTAATGACACATTTTTCATATTTTCTCCACAACAATCTACGTGGTTCAGCGTATTGGGATTTCGGGAGGATATTTTTAATCACTCAAAGAATATATTCTCAAAATTTCAGTTCTGCAGTCCATCTCCTTCTACTCCCATATACTTACTGCGGAAGTTCTTTAATATGCCGCTTGTCTAGGCTTTTACTGCTCTTCCTGAGCTCCGGACCCTACCCCGTCTTACTCATATCTCACTCTTACCTTAGCACCTGTTTTTATACCTACGATCAAGTTTTCTTTTTACACCCTGGCGCTTAGGAAACTCCTACTGTAAAGAGGTCTCAATAAATTATTCGCTGCAACAAGGTTGTACTTCATAATCGGCAATAAATGAATCGAATTGGAACTATTATTATATTCTAACCCTAGAATATATATACATACATACATACATACATACATACATACATACATATATATTGTGACGTCTTTCGTCCCTCTGCGGAAGAAGGAACGAGAATGCGCAGCCCTCGCTGACCAAGAATCTCTTAGAGTTGGTTAGAACTAACAACTGGGCGCCACATCTTTTTTTCGAAACGGACAAAATCCGAACGAATTCCAACGAATTCCACCAATAACGGAACAGCTACCGAGAACTCAGTATAATAACCACGGAGGCGGCTGGGTTCTCAAATACTGCTGCTAAAAATTAATCTGAAATGACGATCGAATTATCCAACGAGAAAATCCAAATCAAATTTTGTGGGGTAATGAAAATCATTTTAAATATCAGAATTTCGAATTACAAAAGAAATAATAAATCAAAAATGATCAACCTCGTCTTATTCTCAATGAGATCTACGCTCAATCCACGTTAAATAATTAAAAAGAAAATAAACAAACAAAATAGATTAACGAGCTATTGATATATCATAAATTCCCTAACCACGATTTGTCAAATGATAAGATACTAGTCAATTAAATGTACGTCAGAATAAGTAAAATAATCCAAAGTCAAATAAACTAGAATAACTAACAAAATCATCCGAGTCAAAATAATCCTGGTGTAGGAATCTACTATTACCGCGAAACTGAGCGCGTCCACCATAAGCGGTGAGAATAAGATCTAACGTCCACAAGCGATTGAGAGGGGGATTGAAGCGAAAAAACGTAAACAAAACTGCCGGCGACAAAGCTATCTCGACAGCTATTCGACAGCTATCTCCGGCCGAATAAACGCCGTAAAATAGTTTCTGGTACTTGGCCTCAAAGGCCACAAGAGAAGGAAAATGTGGAACCTCGAGAATAAACAATACTGACGACCTGGATTCGAACAGCCGTTGAATTCCAAAAATCGATATTATATCTCACGGCCCAATAGCGAAACGAGAGTCAGGAGCAATTATGACACCCGAAAATCACGAATTTCAATTGAATTTCACTCCACAATAGAAAACCAAAATCTTTCCAGTCGTTACAAATTAATTTATGGACGGACCCGTATGACCCTGCCGACCGAGGGGTGAGAATCGCCACGAAAATTCGACGTCAATAGAAAATGGCAACAAACGTAACGAACCCAAACGTCCGACAAAACAAAAAATAATCAAATTCTCAGGCATCGTAAAACGCATTAACAACAAGAAAAATCACTTCGTCAATAATCCACCGCTCACCGATATGAAGACTTCCAGCAAGAGGCAATCTCTCCAAAATTCAGCTAAGCCGATGGTACCAAATCCAAATTTAACGAGGGTCCAAAAATTCCACAAAATTCTCCTCAAGTACAATACATTCACAGCGCACAGCGGTCCGAACGATGTTCAAACGAGAAATGCTCGTTGCCGGTATCACTAACCCACGCGACAACGCTTCGGAAATGACCGGTATGACCTAATTCTCGGCCCCTAGATTACGTTGATTAGAATACCTATTTGAATTAAAAAAATTTCCGTTTTGAAGCGCCATCTGTGAGCTATCAAAGCACTCAAGTCCGATTGTGGTCCGATTAATACAACCTAAAGAAACGTAGTAAATAAAAATGTTGTTCGAACAGCAGCACTTGAGGCTAGGGACGGGCGATGTTTTAAAAAACCTCGACCATCGAAGAATCAATGTTTTTCTCATTCAACAGAAAAAAAAAATTTTTTTTTTATAATTTTTTTTCGTTTTTATTGCAAAATCTATATTTAAAAAATACAACCAAAGGGACTTACGTTTCAATGATAAGTATTGCTGGAGAGCTGGATTTTTAATTTAAAAATATATATTGAATATTTTTCGTAGCTGAACGTTAGCTGCAATAATTGTTAAAAATTTGAATTAAAAAAAAATTAATATTTAAAATTTTAAAGAACAATAGATGACTGGACTTGTTCACTTATCATTTATAACATACGTACTGTAGAAAATAATGACTTCTGATTGCGGATAAATTATTATTTTGTTTATTCTCAATCAATTGACATTATCATTCGACAAAAAAATGAAAAATTGTTGGATTGGTCAGAAACATCGATGTTTGAAAAAAAGAATCAAAAGTCGACTAATCGGCCGTTGAAAACATCGAATGAAAAGGCATGAAAAATCGATGTTTTCGATTAATCGACAACATCGTCCATCCCTACTCGAAGCACTCTCTTCTTTTCACCTTCCAACTTGGAAAAATTGTTACAGAAGCACAAGAAATGATTTGTTCGGCCTTGGGAGAGAGTGCTGTATCTTATATCACATGTAAAAAGTGGTTAAAAAAATTTCGGGATGGAAATTTTGATCTCCAGGATGAAGAACGTCCTAGGCAACCAAAAAAAGTTGAGGACGAGGAGTTGGACAACTTACTCAATGAAACTCCCTGCCAAACAACAGGAGCTTGCTGATACTCTCAGAGTGACTTAACCAGCTATTTCGAGGCGTTTAAAAATAATTGGGAGGATGCAGAAGGAACGGGGATGAAAAGCGGATATTTTACGACAATTCTAACAGGCGAAAGTCATGGGTTTATTCGGGGGAGCCGTCAACGAGTACTGCAAAACCGAACATTCACGGGAAAAAATTGTTGTTGTGTATTTGGTGGGATTCCAAAGGTATAATCTATTATGAGATACTCGAACAGGGGGAAACCGTCACTGCTAAGCGTTATCAGGACCAACTGGTGAAATTGAGTGATGCTACTGAGGAAAAGAGATGTTTTACTGGTAGTGCTACGAGGCAAGTAATTTTGCTGCAGGACAACGCGCGGCCACACACGGCAAAAGAAACCCTGAAAGTTATCTCCACGTTGGGCTGGGAAATTCTCCCACATGCGGTGTATTCCCAAATCTTGCGACTTCTGTCACCTTTTTCGGGCGCTACATCACCTGGTGGATACCCAGTTCCAATCTCCTGAAGATGTCCGGCAGAACATTGATGAATTCATCCAGTCAAAATCACCATCTTTTTTCCTAGCGGGAATCCGACAACTGCCCAATATAGATGGGAGAAATACGTGCAAAGTGATGGCGATTGTTGTTATTCATTTTTTTCGTCACGCTGTGACGAAAAGTGAACTTTTCGGCACGCTCCGCGTGCCTAAAAGTCCAATTTCCGCCACATTGTGATGAAAAATATTGTTCGTAACTCGTGAAAAAATGTTTTTTAGCTTATGGGATTATATCACTCGCCTTCGGCTCGTGATATAAACCTCCCACTCGCCAAAAAACACTTTTTTGCACTCGTTACGAAATATACTATTTTTTCATTTTTTTATAAATAAATGTTCAAATTGTCGAAAAAAGGTCGAGAATTAAGTCATACACCTAATAATTATCCTTCTTCCGAACATCTGAAGTCAATTCAGAATCTCCAAGTCTCGGTAATAAGATCGTCAGCCGAGTCCCCAGTTACCGACTCCGTCGCTGGTGCCACCACTCCATCTCCTCCATGAACCACTCTAGTGCGGAACCACTTAAATGTCCTGGTCCGGAAAATCTCGTTTTTCAGCCAATCAAGACTCAGATAAAGACTCCCAAGAAGAATCCAGACTCAATCCCACGATGTTATCCGATGAGCGGCGGTTCTATGCATCAATATAAATCAAAATAATATCAGCAGTAAAATATATGGTCCCAAAAGAAAAATGAATAAACGACTCTCGCTTCGCCCAAGATGTGACTTCTCGACTGGAAATCCCCTCATACCGCTGAACGGTCAAACATCGGCAATACCACATTACAATATATGTATAAAAAAATATATTCTAAAAATAAGTTTTTAAAAAGGAATACAAAACAAAGATTTATATGACCTAGGATTTTAAGCAAAGATTATTCTTGTTCCTAGGCTGAAGGTTATCCCTGGCGAAATACATTGCTGACAAAAAAGGTGACACCAATTGTTTAATAGAAGATTATGTTTTTACGTGATTGACAAAACGCGGTACGTCGTGTGATTACGATTTTGATTAACAATCATTCAATTGTCATGGACATTCGTAATCACATGAAGTCCCGGGTCCTGGTGATGAATATCTAAAAAAATGACCGCATTGGAATTCACTGAAAGATTAACGCGTGCGCAGTCTAGCACTTGAAGATTGACGATTTTTTCAGGTGATTTGAGCGAGTTGATTTGCGACAAAATTATACTTGAGTTCAAGAATGTTTTAAAGTATGAGACCTTTTTCGGGCCGCCTAACTTTAGATGCCTGGAAGAATTAAGCGATTGAAGACAAATTACTTGCGTCAAGTAAATATGTCTCAGATATTAGCAGGTTTTCACAGAAAACTCACTTCTGCTGGGTGCTCGTGATTTTTTTCTCAGAAAAACTCAAGTTCAATTGACTTTTCCGTGTATTTGCAATGAACCTATTGGAAAATACCCAATAATTATGAAGCACTCTATTATATGTGAAAATCCTACAATTTCACTTATTCACTTTCCGTATCGTTTCAGAGCAACCAATCCCTCTCAATTTGAGATAGAATTCTTCGTTAACGACCTCAGCAAGCCTGGAGCATCGACCTTCGAGTCTCTGGGAGGACTAGAGTACAAGCAAAATGTCAACATTCAGTTAGAATGCGAGAGAAAACAAATTCCCACGGATGGGCTCGTCCTCCGTGGTTGGTATACCACGATAACCCTAGCAGTTTACGGATCGCTCACGAAAGCCATCACGAACCCTCCAGAATTTTCTTCGTCCGCCCCAGCTGCTCCAGTTCCTGTTTCAGTAGAGCCAAAGCCCCCAACAACGCTTCAGAGCGAAGAAACCGTCCAATCAAACTGGTACTACGAGAACAATTTGACTGAACCTCAGTCAGTACCTGAACCAGAGCTTTCAGCAACTTCTCTACCAATCCCCCAACCAATTCAAACGATAGGCACAATTCAAAAGATTGCGAAACCCCCCGAGTCTCAACAATGGATAGAAGAATCCCCAAAATCCCTTACTACCAATCCGAAGAAGCCTGCATCGCCCCCACCGGAGTCGCTGGTCTCCTTAAGTCCAGAATCAATATCAGCAGAAGAAGAAGACGATGGAGACGAAGAGCAAGAAGAAGAAGAAGAACAAGAAGAAGGAGATGATGATGATGAAGAGACGGAAAGGGAGCCTGAAGAGTCAGTCGAAGCCGTGGAACCCTTCGAACCGATTTTATCTGATGAAGAACTCATGAACGATGACATTCCTGGGACTAGCATGGACTATCAATCAGATATATCAGCAGAGCTCCATGTACTTGAGCCCCCAGATTTATTAGACCTGATGTCACTTCCTCCAACATCTATCGATTGTCATAAATCTGAATCAGACGATACCGATAGAATTCAAGAAATTCTCAAATCTTTTTCGAAATTCTTCGTTCGTCTGAATACTGCTCCAGGGCAGGAGAAAGAGAGCTTTGTTCATAATTGTGAATTGTTATGCATATATCTGGGATCTTCATGCCACATAGGAGCAGAAGATCTTCAAAATTTATCAGAGATGGTTAATGCAGGATTAGATATGGAATTAGCAAGAGCTCAGCCTCAACCAGCGTACAAAGTTCGTCATATTAAGGTAGGAGTGAGATTAGCAGAGGCTACGTGTGCTCTTGAAAAAGGTTCTGACGTTTTGCTGAAGGTGGATGCCCCAAGGAAGCTGTTGACTCTCTGCATGAGGGAGAACGTCGCCCTCCCCGTGAAACTTGCGGCTATCAGAGCTCTTGATGCAGCTCTAATCAGCCCACGAATCATCGATAATTTCCTGAATTCCGAGAACAATCTCTATAAAATAACCCTACTGATGCTGGATGAGGCGAAACTTGCTCGACTAAAATATGCACTGACTTCTTTGCTTCGGAAAATCCATACGTATGAACTACTTTCTGAAGTTAAACGGACGGGGCTGAAGGAAATTGAAATCATTGAGTTGACTCAGGCTTACACTTGTGCTCCAACACTAATGGCACAGCCTAAGAGACAGTTACCAGTGAGTATGCAGATGGAGTTCGAGCGAGAAGTTGACAGAAACCCCCAGAAGCATCTAATCTCCTATTTTAGGCATTATGGTTTAATGAAACTGGTGTTGTTAACATTAGTATGCCCACAATCGTCGACAAAATTGATCAAAGCCGTCAGAAAATTTCTAATCCACTTGACAGAAACTGAAGAAGGTCTTCTGTATCTTTTAGAGGACACGCAAGTGACGAAATCTATTTTAAAAGCTCTTAGATATAATGAACCAGGTCTGGGATCAGAAATCGCCTGGTGTCTGCAAGTAACTCAGTGTTTAGCTCACTTAAAGCATTCAAAAATTTCAAAAACAACGAATCAAAACGACTGGACTATAATGAAGAAGCTTCACTCCTTTTTAACGTATCCAGAAGGTCTACATGCAATAATTTCAGTGGTCCCTATAGGCTCATTCATCGACATTTTAATACCCCTCCTAGCAGACAGGGATTTATCGGAATTTTCCGCTGAAATAATCTCTATGACCATCAAGTATTCTAGTAGAGTTGAAATCCTGCAGTCTCGAGCATCGTCTCTTCTAGATGCTTCAAGAACGCAAGTGATTCTTCGCGATATTAGTTCTCATCTTAACATAGCAGTTCCCGCCGGCAATTGGAACTACAACGATGTGTCCTCTCTGGTGTCGACTATCAGAAAATACAGTGACAAGTCCTCAGCACTTCCTGGAGAATTAATAACATCCTGTAGAATTCTATACCATTTAACGTTTCCATCAAACGGCGACATTGATGCGATGGAATCGTACGTTGAGTTAAAACACAGGAATGTGTTGACTCAGCTGTTCGCTGCTGATGGCTTAACATCTCTCATCGCAGTTTTATCAAATTTAACCACTTACTACGAGCAACCATTTCTTCATCGAGCTACTTTAACTGGTCGAAGAGGGCTAGCTTTGGTTGGTCTCTTAATAACATGTGTTAAGCTTATTCGTGCCCTCCTACAACGATTAGTTCAGTGTATGGCTACAGACTTCAAGAATCTAACTCCAGTGGCTCCCCTTCTCGAAGTTTACTGCTTAGCCGACGCGATTCCAGGGTCTCACCATTTCGTGAAACTTCTGCAAGAGGAAATCGCCGAAACTCTTCTATTATTCACAAGAGCAGTAGATTCAGATGGTGCTGGGAACGTCGCGAAATCCCTGTGGACTCAAATGTTGGGGGAAGTATTGAGAATGATCTCCATGAGGGCTTGCAATTTCTTGCCAGGGCTAAAGCTCTTGTCGAGACTATTGCCACCTACTTTATGTAAAGGCCATAACCATGAGAAGGACGTGGCTAGAGCTCTAGGGCTGAGGAAACTGTGGTCTGCCCATCTTCAAGCCCAAGCTGGGAACCTAACAGAGACATTAAGACTCCTGTGTGCCTCTTGGAATGAACCTCTTTTAACTCTCCTATCTACAGTATGTAAACAACTCAGTGACTTAGCAGCACCAACAGCGTTACTCGTTGGAAGATGTTTGTTGGACAGGATTCTAACAGCTGCACCTTTGGAGAACAACATACCAACATTAGCTCTTCTTAACGATCTTACTCTTCACCCTCCTGTGAAGGCCACCCTACTCACCCTATTGAGCCCAACATCACGAGCTCAAGTGAAATCTGACCAGAAGTATCCACCAGTTGTGGAGATGATGTGTGCAACATTGAAAAACATCAACGATATGAATGTTCAAAGTGAAATTCTGGAAATTTTTTATACTCTTTGCGATGATAATTTGGCTCTAGTGCAAAGTAACGCTACTGAGCCCTTGGAGATTAGATTAACGCATTCTGTGCCTAGTAAGGAACCCTTAATTTCGATTTTAACTGCCCTGATTGATATTTTGGGAAATGCTGGTAAAAATTCGGAGATGAGTTTAGAAATGACGCTTCGCGTTTTACTATCTCTGACGAAACATAATTACGGACTTTATCACGTGAAAAGTTGCTTGGAAAATAATCCAGGTGCTCTCAAAGCGTTCTTAGATCACGTGGGATCTCTGGTTCAAAAGGAAGGGGATGATTCTGATAGCAGTCGTCCCTTAATGATGCTGACTGTTTCGTTCTTGGAGAGTTTGATTGCATGTGGAAAATCGAGCGAAAGGTCTCTCTACCTGCGGCACCCCCAACTGGCAGCATTGATCATGTGGGAAAAGAATGTTTCCCATCCACTGCAAAAAATTCAAGGGACTCAGGAATTGGTGAATGATTTGGCAGCGGCGCTGGAGGGGAGAGGCGAGAAGGAACCGATACCAGAAATGCTGGAGCCTCTGTTACCGACTCCAGAGGCTCTACTAAATCAATTTTCGCAGAGGTCAGTAAAAAGGCCAGCAAGCTTGTCACCAGTGAGGTATCGAAAGCATCATTGTGGCTCTGGAATGACGGCTGAGTCAACTCCAGTAGATTTGATATCTCTATCTGCAGAATTGTTGCCTGCGGACTTCAATTTATTAACTGAGGCTCAACTTTTATGTTCAAAGGCTCCATTGCCAGATTCTATGGAACCTCTGCAGGGGAAGGAGGGTGGGACTATCACTAAGGATATGCAAAGACTTAAAAATTTCCCCATTAACAAAACTAAGCAACCATTCGTGACTCCCATGAGGGGAAGAGCCCAATTTGTCTCATCCCGGGGAGGACTGTCATCTGGAGCAGTGGGAGGCAGGGGTGCAGATCCCTTCAGGTCTAGACCTCCAAACACTTCGAGGCCCCCCTCACTGCATGTCGATGATTTCGTGGCCCTCGAGACCTGCGGCGCTCAACCCACTGGACCCACCGGATATAATAAATTAAGTATTAGAGGCACCGGTCCGCCTAGGGGTGTCATCTCTAGCAGCAGGTGTCGTGCTTGGATTGCTGAACCTCGACCACCTTATCTTAGATAAATTGAGATTTTTTTCACTATGGTCTAAGTTTTTAAAATTAATTACATTGCTACCATGTAAATATTTAAATAAATTTCTTTTCCATATATTTATTGGGTTTCACTGTTGATACTTATTTACAGATTTACAGATGATACAGTTATTAATGGTAGGCTTTTTCGTTTTCTGATCTGCTCATGCTTTTCTTCTCGATCGAATTTCTGTTGAAATTTTTCGTAACGATTTTTGAAGACCTCAAACTTTTGTTGAAACTGCTCGTTTCCGTAAAGTTTTGCAGATTGCTCGTATTTCAAGGTGTCTTCTACTTTAAGTTTGTATTTGTCGAGAAGAGTGTAGATGTGTTTGCTGGGACGGATGCGATGTATGCTCATAATTCTGAGGATTTCAAGGATGTAGGCAATTTTATTCGTACAACAGGCATTTCCTAGGAGGGATCCAGCGATCACGGGATTTAAGGTGTGACCTGTGGCATCGAGACCATCGAGGAGGACTTTAGCGTCGTCCAGAGTTTGACAGCCCAGGGCTAGGACTCCCCAGGTGATCATGTCGGGGACGAGATTGTGTCTTTGGATGTCATCTAGGACTTCCTGGATAAGCATTAATGAAATGATAATTAAAAATATAATTATTTGTTTTCGCTTCGATTTCAAGATTCGCTAATTTTGAATGGGGATGACTGACAATGTTATGAGAAATCAAAATGATCTTGGTGATTTTCTTAAAAAAATTATATATGTTGCTCTGTATATTAGTGGGAATTTTCAGAAAATTTTGACGTTAGGAAAATATGTCAAACGGAAAAAATATCAGTGGGAAAACAAAGATTTGACCAACTGGCGGCGATGCACCAAAATGTTGTTTTAGGCTAAAAAAGGGTGAAATTTATGCCGCACAGTTACCAAAGAATACAGACGGCCAAATAGGATAAAAGAATACAGACGTAATGCGAAATTGAAATTTCAGGTTGGACCAGGTGTATTATTTGTGAAAAAAAATATAACTCGATAAATATGAATTCTATCGAAGAATTGCAAGAGAACTTTTTTATTCAAAACAGGTTTAAGTTTCGGGAGAAAATATTAAGACTCGAAAAAAATGGAACTTACAATGAATTTAGCAATAAACAAATTAAAAAGTTAACAATAAATCATGAGGGCATCATGCGAAAGATTCGAATAAATTATATGTTATAGAGTAGACATCGAAGAATTGCCGATACAATTGGGATTCTTTAATCTCCAATAATTCTCGAGATATTGAGTTTTTTACAACGCTGCGCCAGTCGCAGGTTCTAACCGATAAACGCTAAGTTAGGGAAACATGCTAAGCGAATCGTACACAATGGGTTCCCAGCATGGTACTTTCTTCGAACTTCAATCAACAACAAATTTCGAGGGATTGCAAAGGTGCTCGTGATTTTACATCATTTTATGACAAGGAAATGATTCCCGATAATGTCAATGGAAAGTCTACTGGTGCATAAGGCCAGCTACACCACAGGAGGTGCGCCGCCTTGAGCGACGTGGCCAGGGTAACCGGAGATTGCCGGGATTTTTTTTAGATGTCTTATAATTTGAATTTGACTCACAATTCCCCACACACTGAGAACTTACACCAGGCATCGGAGATGCCTGAAGATTGAAGACTGGAGAACGCCAATTGCACTGCCAATTCTTCGATACTTATTCTATAACATATATTTTTGTCGAATTTTTCGCACCATATTCTCATGATTTGTTATCAACAATTTAATTTGTTTATTGCTAAATTAATTTTAAATTTAACTTTTCGGGTTTGTTTTTTCTCTCGAAATTTAAATGTTTTGAACAAAAAAAAAGTTCTTTTACATTTCTTTGATAAATTTGATATTTATCAAGTTATCATTTTGTAAAAAATCACTTACCTGGTCCAACCTAAAAATGTTGATTTCGTATAGCTTAAAAAAATTTTTTTTTTAACATTTCCAGGCTCGCTTGGCACTGTTCTACATCATATTCAATTTCCATCGACATCGAAAAAAAGCCAATTGAAATAGTATGGAACGCCCCCCATAGAAGTCCGACCGCGGATTTAGACGCAGTACACCCGATACCGCGAGCGCGAGATGGCGCCAGCGTCAACTTCACGATCACGACTTCACCGATTAGGTCGGCCGGTTGGCATCACTGAAATATACTATATACTGGAAAGAGCACTGCAATGCCAGACTCGTAAACGGAAAACGAGCCAGAGAGGAGTAGATTTTCGGGGCCACCTCGCTCTCTCTCGACGGTGCGCATGCGCGTAACGTGCCTAATCACACACGGTACAAGCGAGTTGAGAAGCTTCGGTTGAGTTATGCGCAGCGAATTGATGTGTTAAAGATTGTTTTCATGCTAGACGGATAAATAAATATAGGGACGTTCTACTTTTTCATCACAGTATTGGAAAGATCAAATAGAGATCAGAACCTCGAAGCATGTTCTTGAATTTGAGGAATTAATTCCTCTTGAAATAAAAGTTTATANCGGGGCCACCTCGCTCTCTCTCGACGGTGCGCATGCGCGTAACGTGCCTAATCACACACGGTACAAGCGAGTTGAGAAGCTTCGGTTGAGTTATGCGCAGCGAATTGATGTGTTAAAGATTGTTTTCATGCTAGACGGATAAATAAATATAGGGACGTTCTACTTTTTCATCACAGTATTGGAAAGATCAAATAGAGATCAGAACCTCGAAGCATGTTCTTGAATTTGAGGAATTAATTCCTCTTGAAATAAAAGTTTATATCATTCAAATATCAACTTTCTGTTCCAGGAATTATATTGGACACACCGAAATATGAAATTCTGAATTCTGAGGACGGTACTGGCTCATAGGATGTCGATTTCCCGTCAGATTAATTGAATGAAGAATCTATTGAATTGTATATTCTTATGTATTTTTTCCATGTCAATTTACTCGTAATACAATTGTAAATACTCCATGTATAAGTATACATTAGGAACGAATAAAATTTTCAACTGTCTCATGTTATGAGTTTGAATTTTTCACAAAAATGACATGCAGTCAAAAAGAACTGAATGCCAATGCTAAATTCTATACGTTGTCCAAAGTAAGAGAATACTTTTGGAGCAGACGGTACGGCAGAGACAGGTAGCCCCCAAAATCGACCCTCTCTCTCGGCTCACTTCGGGTGGCTCAGTGCCCTTGCAAGTATATAATATTCTGTTTCTCATTTTTTCCTTGTGTTTTCCCTGTGTGTTAAGATTAATGAACACAATGTTTATCGGTTCATCACCTGTTCAATTTTAATATTTCAATAAGTGATTCACTAATTCTGAATTTCTGTGCTCACTGAATGATGTTCTAACAATAATTATAATCAAAATTCAATTCAGAGCGCGAAACAATAATTATTAAAGTTCTCACAACCCAGAATTGTTTTGTGTTCGCCACCTCTTTCATTCTCTTTTACACCATTTCAAAAGCATTTAATTATTTTTGCTGGAAAAATTATATGACCGATTCTGATGCTCCTTCGCTAATTCGGAGTATTTTCTCCTCATTCATAATCTTTTACACAACATTATTCAACGATGCCATGAACTTGAAACTTTGATGAATCATCTGAAATTGTTTCAAATTCTCTATGAAATCCCGAAATTCTTGTGAATTTTGCTTGGGATACGTGGAAATTTTGGTGAAATTATTCTTCTTTCCCATTTGAATCAATCAGAATAGGGTGAACTGCCCATATGCGGAACACTACCCAAGAACGGAACATTTCTCAGATTTTACGAGATTTCTCAAATTTCGGCCAAGCTATCGATTTGATTTTTTTTTCTAAATTAAGTTTATATCCCTCCTCATGACGTCATCACAAATCTGATCGGCTATCGATTACCTCCTGCTGAATATTGCAGAAAAATCCTGGCAGCCGCCAGGTTGCGGCGATTGATAGTTACGCGTGCCATTTGACGGGTTTTTTTTGAAGCGATGTTTTTTAGATTTTAAATCACAAAATGCGGTAAGTTGTGATTGATATTGATATAAAATCCTTCATTCTTCAATATTTCCATATCAATTTCATCAGAAAAATGCTATTGTATTGAATATATGGGGGTTCCGTCTTTAGGGTTAGTTTTCCACGCAATTCCAAACGAACGGAACACTCATACGGGTGGATACCTATGTCAAGTGGGAATACGGTGATACTGTGGAAAGTGTATTGGCGGTTAATGAACTAATAATTTAATGAAGTTAATCAGAACCGTATCCCTAAATTAGTTTATTTTCTTCATTTTTTCGTGTAGATGGCTTCAAAAGGTAAAAACACACGAAAAATACACGAAGAGGAGGGAGAACAATCAGCCAAGGCAGAAGAGGTTAGGAAACCCTCTCAACGGTTTAAATACACAAAAAAAATCTAGAAGAAGCGATTGAGGCTGTGAAATCGGGGAACAGCTCTCTAAATAATGCATCAATTAATTATGGTATCCCCAAAACTACATTGCATTCACGAGTCAACGACAAAGTATCTGGATACTCTCATGGTCGTCAGTCTGTATTGACAGTTGGGGAAATCCACCGAAAAGATATAAATTTCGGGAGGAATTGAACAAAATTGTATATTTTCTGATTAATATCCTCGATATGACTGCGCATCAGGAATTAATCTCTCAACGTCACACTAACCTCCAATGTTCCGTAAATGGGCAGACGATGTTCCACTCTTGGCAAAAGTGTTCCGTCCTTGGTATATTCGATGTGCGTGTACTTATTAATTATTTCCAATTATTTCCCATCAAGTGATAGGTTCCTTCATTTTTTCTCAGAAAATAGACTAAATTTGGAATTAGGCAGTATTTTTCTTGAATTTTTCAAGAGAAAATTTCAATATTTCATGACTGTGTAAACTTCTGAAAGGGCTTAAATGTTCCGTAAATGGGCAGTTCACCCTACTTACTGCAGAAGTTCCTTAACCNGTAGTTGGGGTCGCGTGACTCCTGCACATTAGTTTTATTTGGTAGATTCCGCCTTTTCCTATCAATTGTTCTCCCATGGTTTATTCAAAAACTCTAATATTTGAGAGATACTGAAAATTTGTTCTAATGTCCGAAAAACTCGTGGATTTTTTCTATTTTTTTCAGAAAATTTCATAATTGTTTTAAATTTTCTGGAAGCTCGAATCATCTTACATTCAGAAAAAACCGACAATTTTATGATTTTTGATGGAACTTGTAAACTTCCTGAAGGTTCCTATAATTCATCCTCTATCCATTCTATTTGAAGGGGATTTTGTAAAATTGAACACATCGTCACGAATTTCCTAAAATCTTAATCTTCCTGGTCTTAAGTTAAGACTCTTAACGGTTTTGGCTTTGCATTGTTATCTCAGCCAAACTGAAAGGCTCCTTTTTCATAGTCGCTAGTGCCGCCGTGGCCGCGACGCTGATGCTCTTTCCTTATATCTTTTTTCATTTTTTTTCCTTATTTCTTTCAAAAATGGATGATTCATCATCGTCTTATTATACTGAGTGTTAAGATTCATGAACATAATGCTTATCGGTTGATCGCCTGTTCAATGTCAATATTTCAATAAGTGATTTACTAATTC